TTTTTTGGTCTTTATCTGGCTTTGGTATCAGGCTGAACTGGCCTCATGGAATGAATTTGGAAGTGAAATTAAGAAAATAATCTCATTTATAATTGCACCAAAAACAATAAGATATATATATATAAGAGATATATGACTTTCGCTTAATATCAAATAAGACCCCTGCCTGAATCAAACTACAGTTTTTATACATTTGGAAAAGTAGAACAAAATTAACTAGTTTTTCATGTAACTTATAGAAATAGCTTTATTAACTAGATAAAATGAGCAAAGAACTAAAAAAGTATTTAAAAGGTACATAAATTATGAGATTTCAAGTTCAGCACTTGTAAGGATGACAGTATGCCAAAAGTTAGTACGCTAATGAATCTTATAAACCTTCAAAATTCAAAGAATATAAATACTTTCTAAATTTAAACTTACCACAGAATTTTTTTTGGACAAAGCATCACCAAGAAATGATATTTAAAAAAAAAATACACTTTGAGAAATAAGATATTATGCCACATTTTAGAGGACTACAGCTATGCAAAGTAGTATTACATACAATTTGCATCTGAAATTAAAATCCAGACGAGGTATACATACAGGAGAGGCACCTGGATGGCTCAGTTAGACAAGCATCTGACTCTTGGTTTCAGCTCTGGTCATGCATGGTTCATGGGATCAGGCCCCCCCGGGATTCCTTCTCTCTCTCTCTGCCCCTCCCCTGCTTGCACACTTGTGTAAATGTTCTTTCTAACTCTCTCACAATAAATAAATAAACATTAAAAAAAGATATACATGCATGAAATAAAATAATTTAAGACAATCATACTGAACATATCAAAGCGTAGTATAGCTTTATATCATATGAACTATGAGATTAATATTACTAAGAGCCCTGAAAGGCAAGACCACAGGTTGAGTTAGAACAGTCAAGGAAAATTATGTGATACTCATAATAGTTTTGAAAGTGAAATTCTGAGTATTTTGTCTTATGCACTAAATGTGCCTGTAATTTTGGCATCTCTCATTGAGTAAATAAAAAATCACAGCAGTTAAAAGGCTAAGGACTTAACATACATTCATTTAATTCTCCCACAATTCTATGTGTATGTTGTTATTTTCATTTCACAAACTTAAGTCCCACAGGTTAAAACTTACTGGTCCATGTGCTTAATACCACTAAACTGTATGCTTAAAAATGGTTGAGATAACAAATTTTATGTTATGTATATTCTACCAGAATAAAAGAAAAACTTACTTGTCCAGGTCATATAATGTATGTGAAATTCGTACAATAACTTCTACTCCAGCTTCAGTAGCCAGTTTCTTAATGGCTGCATCTCGTTCCTTTCCAAAGGGCTCAGAATCATACTCAATTGAAAGTTTAGTAATGTTCCATTCCTAAAGTAAGAAAAACGGACAAAAATGTACACAAATCTTAATAATTATTTTTTCTATTACAACAACACATTCTGGAAAAAGTGATAAGCTCAAACTCTACATATGAAATTATTATACATAAACTTTGAATATGCAGGAAGAAACCACACAATTTATAAATTCAAAAATATGTTAAGAAATGTATAGTGATTAGAGTTCAAGCATTGTACTAGGCATTAGACAATCTAATAATATGCTTAAAACCAGCTTCCTACACTAAATGTGTTTGTATAGCACTCTACTTTTCAAATAATTTACATTTGTTCCTCAAAATAATCCTCACTTTACCTCTTTGGTTGGTATCTCCATTTGGCAGATAGGATTATTTTAAAAATTTAGGGACTTGCCCATGTTCACAAAGAGCCAGAATACCTGAATTTATGTCTGTTGATTCTAAGAATTGGTCTTTCATAAACCTTTGATAGTTAATATGGTATACACAATGCTTTGCTGAGGTACTCTTTTGTAATTTGTTATTTCTGATTACCAAAAAATGCTAACTGTGGAGATACAGAGATAGTAATAATAATACCAGATATTTAGTGAGTATCAGGTGCTATATTGATAAGTTATGTACACATCTCCTTATAGTGATTTTCAGTGTGGAGACTGTGACTTCAGGTAATTAACTGATTTCCCCAGCGGGTAGTAGCTTTTCTTTTTAATTCTAAAATCTACTCTGATATATCTTACAAAGAAAAAAAAAATCAACAGCAATTCTACCATTAGTTAACTAATTATATAGTAAACACACTAATTCTCTAAACCTGGACAGTTTAGACAAGGGCTGTTTCCAATGGTGTGATTAAAAAAAAAAAATTGCTACTATAAACCATGCAGTGTCTATCCTTATCTTTATGCGTTCATCTTAAACATTCTGGGGCATTTGTTCTATTTTTCCTAGAAATAGTCCCTTGAAAAACAATGAATGGATAAGGTAAGTACATTTAAAATTTTTATAGACACACCAAATTTTCCACCAGATATAGTGTACCAATTTACACTCTCATCAGCAGTACACCAAAGTGCTTGCTCCCCATACACTTGCCAACAGCATGTGTTAAAGGTTTTTTTTTAAAAAAAAAAAAACTAACACATACATACACATGGAATAAACAGAAAAATAATTTTTAAAATTTTAAAATTTTATTTTCTTGAAAACCTTGAAGAATGCATATCAAGTGATCAACAGCTTTTACCTTTGAAGAGTAGAATTTAGGAGTGCAAATAAAGTAATTATTTTTTATTTTACACACAGTTGCACTGTTCACATTTGTTAGTACAATCACGTACTGTTTTTGAAATTTAAAAATAAAATTAAAATGAGTAGGAAAGCATTATATTTCTTTGTTTTATGGACAAGAAGTATAAAGTAGCATTTAAAAAACCCAGGACCTAAGGGCGCCTGGGTGGCTCAGTCAGTTAAGCTTCTGACTTCAGCTTGGTCACAATCTCATGGTTGGTGAGTTTGAGCCCTGCATTAGGCTCTCTTCTGTCAGCACAGAGCCTGATTTTGGATCCTCTGTCCCCCTCTCTCTCTGTCCTTCCCTCACGCATGCACACACACATCCACTCTCTCAAAAATAAAATAAATGTTAAAAAAAAAACCACACATAGGCTCTAAACTCAGACCTCCTGCGTTAAAAGACTGGCTCAACTATTTGCACAAATGGCTAAACTCCTCCTGCCTGCTTCCTTGTTTATAAAATAGGTAGATTGTAAGTAATGTGCTTAGAGTAGCTAGCATATAATAAAAACTATGTATTTGCTACAGTAAAACAAACAAAAAAAACCATTGTTACTGTTTATATGACATAATGCAAGTAAATTGTTAAGGACATAGTATACAGTAAGTCCTCAATGAATGGCAGCTATTATTACTAGCCATTCAGATATTTCTTGTTTTGTGAGTTGCAGCTTATGTTTGCTTGGTTTTCTATGGCAATGAATTTTTCTCTTTGGACTTGTAAGAGCTCCTTATATTTTAATGATAGCAACCTTTCTCTGCCTTTTACGTTACAACTTTTTTTTCCCTAAGTAGTAGTTAAAAATTCTATGATTTTTTAAATGTTTACTTATTGAGTGAGAGAGAGAACATGAGTAGGAGAGGGGCAGAGAGAGAGAGGGATACAGAGAAGCCCAAGCAGGCTCCATGCTGTCAGTGCTGAGCCTAACATGGGGCTCAATCCCACAAACCATGAGATCATGACCTGAGCCAAAATCAAGAGTCGGACACTTAACCGACTGAGCTACCCAGGCGCCCCTCTATGATTTTTTTATAAATAAGTTTTTAGTTTTTAGATAGATGATAGAGTTTAAGATGACTCAGTAACACTCCCTTCCCTTTTTCCTTGTAAAGGAAGGGAACATAAATCACAGTTAAAGATAAAAATATAGACCACATTACTAGTAAAGAAGAATTGGAGAAAACATACTAGGTTTATGGGCAGGTAAGCTTGAGAATATTTCATCCCTGAATAAAACAGATTTACCCACCCAATGATAAGCAACACCTTCCCTGCAATGGGGGCTCCCCTATAAAATTTATGACTCAGGAGAAGAGAATAGGATATGTGTTCTTAGCAAGTGAAGAAAAGAAAAGGTACAATCTGAGCTATGCTCAGCTAGGTCCTTCTACTAAACTCACCAATGAAATCTTTAACTTCTTCTCTGGGGATAAATTAGTGATTATCTCTCCACAATAAATATGAAAAGATACAGAAGAGAAGGTTCCCCAAACATTAAATGTATTCACTCATACGTCAAATATTATAATTCTTAATACAGGCCAGATATAACACTAGGTCCCTCCTTCCTGGAGCTTACTGAGGAAGATTGATAATCTGGAGATAAATTTAAAAAGTACTAACTATTAGAAAAAAATATAATGCTCGGGGCGCCTGGGTGGCGCAGTCGGTTAAGCGTCCGACTTCAGCCAGGTCACGATCTCGCGGTCCGTGAGTTCGAGCCCCGCGTCAGAGTCTGGGCTGATGGCTAAGAGCCTGGAGCCTGTTTCCGATTCTGTGTCTCCCTCTCTCTCTGCCCCTCCCCCGTTCATGCTCTGTCTCTCTCTGTCCCAAAAATAAATAAACATTGAAAAAAAAATTTAAAAAAAAAAAAAAAGAAAAAATATAATGCTATGATAGGAAATATGGGGAAAAGGGTAATAAGCTAGTAAGCTAATTATCTACTCTTTTTCCTTCCCAATTACACTGGTTAGCTTTCAGTAAGTGGTAAAAGTACATATCCTTGCTTTACTCCTTATCTTAGGCAGAAAGTACTCAATATATCACCATTAAGAATGACATTAGTTATGTTTTCTTATAGACAACCTTTATCAAATTAACACTTACAAATTTTCTATTCCTAGTTTAAAGGTATTTTTAATCATAAATCAATGTTGAATTCTGTCAAATGCTTTTTCTTCATCTATTGAGATAATCATAATATATTTTCCTTTATTCTATTACTAGGAAGAATTATTTTAATTGATTTTTATAATGTTGAACCAGTTTTGTATTCCTGGAATAAACCTCACTGGATCATGATGTAGTATTGTTTAAAAATATTGCTAATTTCAATTTGTTAATATATTATTAAGAATATCTGAGTCTGTTTCTGGGAGACATTTGGCTATCCCCCCCTTTTTTTCCTTAAAATCTCTTTATCAGGTTTTGATATTAGAGTATGGTATTAGAATTATGCTGGTTTCATAAAACAAATGTTTTGGGGAAGTGTTCCCAACATTTCCCCATATTTTCTGAGAAGTACTGTAAAATTGGTATGATTTCTTTCTCAAATACATGATAGAATTCACAATTAAAGCCATTCTGGGCCTGGAGTTTTATTTTTGGAAAGGTTTTCCATTATAAATTCAAGTTCTTTAAGAGATAAAGGACTATTCACTTTTCCTTTTTTTTCTTTTTCTGAAAATTCTGTAACTTGTACTTTCAAGAAATTTTTCATTTCATCTTGGTTGTCTAATTTATTGGCATCATGTTTACATCCTTTATAATACTTTTGAAGTTTAGAGAATCTCTAGTGATAGCCCCCTTTTTTATTCCTGATAAAGAATGATAGAAATGCTATGATAGAAATTTTCTCCCTTTTTCACCCTGATCAATATTGCTAGAAGTTTATCAATTCAATCTTTTCAAGATCCAGTTTTTGGCTTTGTTGACTGAAATCAATCAGGATTCAGTCAAGAAACAGACAACATCAGCAATTTGAACAGGGAACATTTAATATGAAGAATATTAGCAAGTAAAAGGTGGTCAACAACGACAAGGAGTAAAAGAGGAGTTAAAGCTACACTATCCAATATGGTAGATAGTCACCACCCACAGAAGTGGCTTCTGAGCACTTGAAATGTAGCTAACTGGAACAGAGATGTGCTGTAAACATAAAATATACACTGAATTTCAAAGACTTCATATGAAAAAAAGATTAAAATAGCTTAAAATTTTAATACTCATTTTACATTAAAAGGATATTTTAGATATACTGGGTTAAATAAAATATATTATTAAAATTAACTCTGGGCGCCTGAGTGGCTCAGTCAGTTGAGCATTTGACTCTTGGTTTTGGCTCAGGTCATGATCCCAGGATCATGGGACTGAGCCTTGCATCAGGCTCTGCACTGAGTATGGAGCCTGCTTAAAAGCTTCTCTCCCCCTCTGCCCCCTCCCCTGCTCATGCTAAAAATTAAAATAATAATAATAATAATAATAAATAACTTTATCTGTTTCTTTTTACTTTTTTTAATGTGGCTATTAGAAAATTTAAAATTATGTATGTGGCTTCTGTTGGACAGTACTTGTCTAAGGTGTCCAAAATTAGCAATTGCACAACACAGCCACCACCACTAAATGGAGAGAAAATAAGTAAATAATGAATTAAGAACTCAGAAGAAAAGAACCCTCCACTGAGACTCCCACATTAATGCATGGATCTTGCTGCCA